TCCTACATCTTCTCCAACATTTATCATTTTCCTGTTTTGTAATGTTAGCCAATCTGACAGGTGTGATGTGTACCTACAAGTTGTTTTGATTTGCATTTCTCTAATCAATAGTGATTTTGAGCATTTTTTATATGATGAAATAACAATTTATACTAAAACTAGTTAGAATGATTGTGTAACTTCCTCTAGTTCTGTTCAATAGCACCTGAGTAAAAGTAGAAGAGGCAGAATAATATAGAATAATAAAGTGGGGAATAATACAGGATTGGGGTTTGGCAAGGCATGAATAGTGATAGAACAATGAGAAAAAGGATTTAAGATTAGAGAACTGTGTATATTTGAACTGGCTTATTAAAGGAGTTTTATTAAGACTAGGAAGGAAGGAGAGTGTGGCTAGAGCAGGAGTGGAGAATTCATTTGTTTTCTCAAATACCACTACCTCTCAGTTCCTTAGTCTATTCAGCTTTCATGACCTACCTCTCTCAACCTCAGCTACATAAAGGGATTGGCACATCTTTGATCTTTCTATCATCCATCACCATTTGATTCCGTGATCAAAAATGCTGAACTTGTTTAATCTGATTATAATTTCCTACCATTCCTTTTCTCTTTATCCTTTAGTCTTCCTAAACCTATTCTTCTTAGCTTCACCATGACGTCACATCTTTCCAAATCCTCAGTAAATTTCCATTTGACCAGTCCTGCTCTAGCCATACTCTCTTTCCTTCCTAGTCTTAATGAAACTCCTTTATTAAGCCAGCAAGTGAAGAAAGAGAAGATATGGGACTAAGCTTTTTTGTAGTGTGCCTGGCACCATGTGAAACACTTTTTACAAACATTTTCTTATTTGATCCTCATAACAACCTTGAAAATTAGTTGCTATTGTTATCCCCATTTTACAGATGGGGAAATTGAGGCAAGATGAGTCACAGAGCTAGTAATTGTCTGAGGCTGCCTTTGAACTTCCTAACTACAGGCTCAGGACTCCATCCACTAAACCACCAGAAAGAAAGAACAGGGAAGGAACAGGTGTAAGGGGACAGTATGAGTTAGCATGATTCACTAGTCTACTTTGTTTCTTCCGTAGTCCAGTAGTCTACCCACATGTGTAACAATAATAGCTAACAATTATTTAGCGTTTTAATCTTCTATCCTTTTTCAATACTAGGACTACAGGCAACTCCTAGGCTGTTGGATTCTGTGATGATACTGTAGCATCTACTCTGAGCTATCCCCCAGTATGCATTTGGACTTGCAATGATGGGTCTCTACAGGGTGGCTATTGCTTTGGGTTCCAAGGGTAACCCTATGGATGGCTACTATTATTACCATAGCTCACAAGGCCCCACCAGAGTATTTCCCATTGACAATAAGTAGACAATTAGCTTTTTAAATTAGGCATTTATTAAAACGGCACTATAAGGACAGCTGGTACAAAACATTCCTCCCAAAAGCCTGAGGTATTCTTTCTCACAAATATGCACGATTTCCTTGGGAAGAACGGACTCGGAGTAGAGAGGTAGTGAGGTGCACGTGTAGAATGCACATGTTGCAAAGGGTAACTGGCAGCTATGGGATCCAGAAATCCTCGCGCTTTTGTAGAGTCTTCACACATTGTTGCTTGGCTGAGAGAGAATCTAAAAGAAGTTTATCACTTAAGCTTCTTTAGCTTATAAGAGCAAAAGGGGCAATGATGCTTAGGTTTTTGACACTGAGACAGTTTTGCTAAGAAATCTTGGTGATCATGGTAAACACGAGTTAGCAGAAAGTTGGATCACAAGACCATAGGCACAGAGATAGGAGGAATATTAGAGTCCACTGAGTCCAACTTTCATTGTATAGTGAGGAAACTGACGCCCAGAGCAAGTAAGTGACTTCTTCAGGGTTAGTGGAAAGCTACTCCATATTTAGCTATGTAGAGACTAAGCATTTAAAGACTAGCTCCAGAAATAGATACGGGCCCTATCAAAACAACTTATGAGAATATCCTATTATCTACAAGAGAATTAATTAGACTCTCTGAAGAGCAAGAAGTGATTGGTGAATATTTACCTCAGAGAATTCTAAGCAAAAGAGACAACCTACCATTTTTTCAATGATTGCCTAACCACATAATGGCCCAGGAACAAATACTTTGATAAAAGAAAATTCAGTATACTGTCATCCTACAACCTGTCCAAATAGGTGAAGAGGACTAAATCCAGAGTCAGTACTTTTTCTGCCCAAAATCTGAGCTGTAGAGATTCCCAGGGTACAGAAAACCCCGACAGAGTGAAGTAATACCGCTAGCTCAACTTGAATCCTCCACAAATTCAGGTTTAGAGATTTAAGACTATATTTCTGATGAAGTAATTCAGGCACAGGGATAGATTCATAGGATACTGAGATCTATTTTAACCTGTAACCAAACTAACCCATGATAGATGTTATAGAGGAAACTGGAAAAGTGGTTACACATGTAGTCAGATAACAACACTAATGTAAGATGTTCCTTGCATGTAATTGCATTGTTCATTGATACGTATAGTAATTACAGCATCAGTGCACCATAAACACATTTGCCAGTTACATGTAATTTTGCTATTTATCTATTTGCATATACCATACTGTTTATGTATGTTGTGTTGTATAGAATTACTGACATAATAATGCTCTGTTTTGATGATTATATATAATTATGCTTCTGCAATTATAATTGTGTACCATTGGGACATGCATATAATAGAATATTCATATAATTTACACTTGTAAGTCACTGAAAAGATACCCAGAATTTGGAACTATGGACATATATGTCCAAATGCATCCCAGTCAATTTACAGGCATCAACAAATGTTTAACTAAGGGATGAATGTAAGTGGGGAGGGGAAAGGAAGGGAATACAAATTTATTAATTTGTGGCAGGCCTTGTTCTAAGTGCTTTACAAATAATATCTCATTTGATCCTAACAACAATCTGGGAGGTAGAGCTATTACTATTATTATCCTATTTTTAAAATGAGAAAACTGAGGCATAAAGAGGTTAAGTGACTTGTCCAGGGTCACATAGCTACTAAGTGTCTAAGGCCGGATTTGACCTCGGATCTTCCTGACTCCAGGCCAAGAATTCTATTCACTGCACTACCTAACTACCATAAAGAAGTTATCTTTGAAAGTTCAAGAGATTAGTCACAGAAAAGGGAGCAAAAAGAAAGTAAAAAGTGAAAATTTTGGCCATTTATTTGAAATCTTTGTGAAATTCAAATAAGTCTTTTCAGTGAATTAGAAAGGGAGCAACTCAACAAGATAAACAGAGAGGTCTGGACCTTTAAAAGTCAGTCTAGGTAGAAGTAGGAGTAGAAGAAGAATACAGCTACTGATAACATGTGTAGAAAACCCAGAAGTGAAGAAGGGGAGAGAGTGAAATGCAGTATGGAAATGGGAAAAGGTAAGCATGGAAAGAAGGGACTGCCACAAAGAACGGAGTCCAGAACTATGGGGTTGAGGCTCGTCAGAATGCTGGGAGAGATTCTGTGCTACGGTGCAGGAATACAGAGCGTTCTCACAACCCGCCCCTCCTTACCCCTCTACTGGGAACAGTGAATCAAGAGGCATGACAGAAGGCACCACCAGTGCTGGAAAGGATGGAAAAATGGCCAGGGAGGAAGTGACGTCTGAAGAGAAGTCAGCTCTCTGTGAGTTGCATAAGACTGAAAGGTCCATGAGAGTTAGAGATCTAAAACAAAAGGAAGTTTGTCATTTATGGGGTAGGAGCTCCAGGGGGCACAGCAGAACAGGTAAGCAGATCTGGCTGAGAGGGGTAGGGCTCCAGCAGAGCTGAGTGAAAGAACATGCAACAGGAGTTTCAGGTGGGAACGTTTAACTCTTAAGTAATTGAAGATTTAGTATCACGGTGAATGCAAGAGGAAGAGGAGAGGGGAGTTTGCTAAACACTGGGGAATGTACCCAGACCTAGCATCATTAGATAGGAGCAGTCATCAAAGGTATGTAGAACGTAGGTAAGTAGAACATGCCAGGTTCTTGACACGGTCACTGTGTTGTTTCACCCACACTGTCACAAACCTAGTTCATTCCCTCATCAACTGGACTACTGGCTCACCCTTTCACAATCCATACTTCACACAACTGCCAAATGATCTCATTGAACAGATATGATCATGTCATCTCCATGTTCAAAAGCTATCAGTGGTCCCCTATTGCTTCTAGGGAAAAAAAACCAACAAACTTTTCAACCTGGCATTTGAGAACCACCACAGTCTAGCTATAATCCATCTACCTTTCCTCATTTTACACAGCCTTCATGGACTCTGTGTTTTAGCCAAAGTGGACTTCTAGACATGCCTGTGTTTTTGACACGTCATCTATCTACACAGATCTTGCACAAGTCATTCATCTCCATGCCTGGAATAGCCTTTTCCACCTTCCATCTTTCAAAATCCTTATCTTGGGGCAGCTAGGTAGCGCAGTGGATAGAGCACCGGCCCTGGATTCAGGAGGACCTGAGTTCAAATCCAGCTTTAGACACATAACACTTACTAGCTGTGTCACCCTGGGCAAGTCACTTAACCCCACTGCCTAACCCCCCCCAAAAAATCCTTAACTTCCTTCAAGTCTCCCCTAATATGGCTAGAGCAAATTTTCTGACCAAGTCTTGTCTCCTTCACTTCCTACCTTGTATTATGCTTATTCTGTGAAATATTCTATCCACCCACTGTCCCAGTCGAATCTAAACACATTGAGGGCAGAGACTAGATAATTTTTATCTTATACTAGTGCCTAAAATGTAGTAGGGGCTTAATAGACATTTGGTGAAATGAAATGAATTCTATTGCAAAAGATAAGTCAATATAGTTGTCATCATAATTTATAATTTAGTATGATGTATATAAAGTGGATAATAATTATGGGGATGTTAACAGAATGCAAAGCATACATATGTATGGCAAAAGGACAAATATAACAAACATACCAATAAATACAGATGGTCTTTATAATTTTACCTTGGACTCCCCTTCTATGATAATAGTACTCTTCTTCCTTGGTGACTTGAATTTCAACTTTGAAGAATGACTTAGTTGTTGAATTGCAGCATCTACAACTGGATCAGAATCATTCAACCCCAACAATTCTGTAGAAGGGAAGACTATGTTCATTTCATCAGGATCCTGGATCTTTTGGAATTTTGTTCATTTGAAAGCATGATGAAAGTTCTCATTATAATGTCAAAGTGAAAGTACTTATTTCCCATTATAAGAGATATTAAACCATTTCCATGATAAGACACAGAATTATCATTAAAAAACTTATGACAGTTAAAGTCATTAATATCATTAAATGAAAAAAAGATACAGTAATACTTTTTAAACTTCTGATCTTATCAACACTAAAAACTAGTCGCCAACATGGTTCTTTAACAATACTTTAATGAATAATAAATCCATGATATAACATATATATGGGTATGTCAGATACTTGATTTAACAGATTGCAATCCATCCACTTTTTTCTCATCTTTTGTGATACTTTAAAGAGCGGTACGGTATTTGGGGTGGGGGGGGAAACGGTAGTAATGACATTCTGGTCATGTTTCTAACTTTAATTCTAGCTTGCCACATCTGAACTAAGTACAAGCCATACTACAAAGCTTTTCTTTTTCATCCAACTAGACTAAGTCCCTCATTCTGTATCATGACTACCCCCCTCCCCAACATGTTATTACTTAGTAGGGAAGAACAGCTGGATAAAGAACAAATCAAATGAAGCCATGAGAAAAAAAAAAGAATCTTGGCGACATTACTTGTATCTGAAGAGGAGAAATCACTGTGGCAAGAAATTGCTTGGACCATGATATCCTTTTCAATGACTTTGATTTTAATAAGAGTTTTCACAGAAAAATCTGCTAAGAAAATATCTACATTATGAATGACAATCAAATGATTATTCAAATCAGCAGTAATACTTAATTAAAGCCATCTGCTAATGTCAATTAAATTTATGCAACTGATAAAGGTGAAGGTTTGACCTCAAGAACTTTTTAATATTATCTCCTTATAAATTATTCTTTTTGTTTACTCTCAATTTGACCACAGTGAAAAATGGGGTTGCTGAAAACCTAACATAATAAAAAACTGTAAACAACAGTTTGAAGCATTTTAATTATACTTAAAATTCTTCATTTATATTTAGGATTCTAGTACAATATAGCATGTTTTTGCTGACATACTTCATTCTTCCATATGTGAATAATAGATTTCTGCTATAGATTCAAGTAAAGAATATCAGAGTCAATAAAATTAAGAATAGCTATGTTTTAAGGATTGCTGGCTGCATTTGAAAATACCCACCATGCCCAAGTATAGATGTACACTACTGGCACATGTTTTCCTTAAAAGAAAGAAATTGATTTAATAGATTTAATTTCACTTGTGAAATTTTTCCCAATTCAACTTTTGGAATTACTCTGCCACTCACACTTTAAAACGTGAAATGTTTGTAATTAAACTTGGAATAAACAACAAATCAGTAAATAAAGCATTCAGCTACATACAGTATAGGATTATACCTTATTTACAAATATTTGGCCAACTAAATACTTGTTTCATAAAGTTCATGCCTGTCAAGGTACCTGATGAAATTGTTAACAAGGATACAAACAGAGGATATAGTCTAAACAGCAATTTACTATACTCTAGAGCTTTACAGTATGAATAAGAACAATAGTAATATTTACATAGTACCTTCTATGTCCCATGTACTGAGCTAAGCACTTTACAAATATGCTCTCATTTGTACACAAACTATATATATATATATATATATATATATATATATATATATATATATATATATATAAAGCACTTTCCTCACAGTAACTCTGTGCAGTACATGAATCTATTATCTCCATTTTTACGTGGAGTCATCTCACCAGCTGTCTTGTCTCTAGGTCAAAGTTTCCACGGAGTATTTAATTCCTAGCCTAAGGAGGGTGCCCTAATTAACGACCACCCTACTTGGCTCACTATTTCAGGTAGGTCTCAGTCATACTTCACTTCACTCTCTACTCCTCAGCTAGCTGGGGAACAAACCTCCTTATACTCTCTCTCATTCCACACTCTGCCTATGCCTACGGATTAGCCTTGGGAATGGACTTGTGTTTCATTGCTATAGGATTTCTAACCCTAACCCTAGTGAAGAAACTTCCTTTGCTAAAGCAAAAAATGAAGGAGTCAGGATCAAAGCCTAGGTCTTCAAAGAAATATTGAAATGATAAGCTCAAAACTTCAGAGAAGAGGCATAGATTTTCATTTTTCTCACCAGAATTCAACGCAGGAAATCTACCCACATCCAGTCCAGGATTTGTTCTCATTGCAGTTATAGAAGTGACCATCAGGGCACCACTAGTAGTCCCACAGGGCATCACTGTTTGGTCTTTTTCTGTCTGTGCAGAAGTAACAGGAGGAGGAATTTTCCATGATTTTGGTTCTTTTGGTTCTATGTAAAAGAACTAGAAAAGAAATGTTTAAGTTTTTCCCCTTTTCCAAATAATAAGTGATGATTGCACATTAAAATGCTTAAGTACCAATGAAGTAATTACAGATGTTTTTTCCATTTAAAAATTAACTATCTAAAGCTTTTCTGTGGGACAATGCTCAAATAGAGAAGCTAAGAAATAAAAAAGGACATATTAAGGTGCTCTACTCAGAGTAAATGGACACCATTGAGCTGAAAAGGGTCACTCTCCTGAAGGACACAGCAAAACCCAAAGAGAGAAAAATACCTAAAACGAAATTTTTAAAAACACATGAAAAGATTATTCAATTTAGTTCACTACCTTCAGGATGGTAGTATCAACACTTTAAAATGAGGTAAAGGAAGCTAAAAAAATTAAATAACTTGCCTGTACGTCAACAGTTACTGTTGGACTAGAATTCTTATTTCTGCTCTCTGTAGGGCCCCAGAATGGAGTGGGAGGCAACAAGTTCCCCATTACTTCAAGCAGAAGCCAGATAAAGAACTGTTGTGAGTGTTTTAGAAGTGGATTTATGCTCACACATGCATTGGGCTCTATTAATCTCTGATCCTTCTAATTTTGAGAGTCATGAATTCAAGTTCCCTGATTCCTAGTATGGTAATGTTATTTGGCACTAGGTCAGTTCAGACTTTTGGAAAACCAATCAAAAATTACCAATTCCTATATCTCATCTTCCAGAAGTCTTTGAATCTCTAAAGTCATCCATGCCTGGGATAGCTACAGGATGCATCAAGTCCAAAGATAAATCTACCCAAGGAACCCCTAGAATAATGCTGGAATCAACATTATAGCTGTTAAAGTATTTATGTATCTGAAGGTTTCAGTAATTCATATTGTTATTCCCACCCTACTCTCATCAAAATGGGCCTCTTTTTTTTTAAAAGACATCTCACTATTGATTAGAGAAGTACTAATTAAAAACACTGAAGTACCATGTCATACCTACCAGATTGGCTAATGTAATAGAAAAAGAAAATGACAAATGCTGGAGGGGATGTGAAAAAATAAGTACATTAATGAACTGTTGGTGTAGTTGTGAAGTTACCTAACCATTATGGAGAATCATTTGGAACTATGCCCAAAGGGCTATAAAATTGCATATACCTTTTGACTCAGTAATACCACCACAAGGTCTATCCAAAGAGATCAAAGTTAAAAGAAAAGGACCTATATATACAAAAATATTTATAGCAGCTCTTTTTGTGGTGGCAGAGAATTGGGAATTGATGGGATGGCCATCAATTGAGGAATGGCCAAACAAGTTGTAGTATATAAATGTGATGAAATACTATTGTGCTATAAGAAATGATGAGCAAGATGGTTTCAGAAAAACCTGGGAGGGCTTACCTGAACAAATGCAAAGTGAAGTAAGCAGAACCAGGAGGACGTTGTACACAGTAACAGCAATATGGTAACAATGATCAACTGTGAAAGACTTAACTGCTGTAATCAATACAATGACAGAAGACAATTCCAAAAGATCCATGATAAAATATTCTATCCACCTCCAGAAAGAGAACTGATTAACTCTGAAAGTGGTTTGAAGCATACTTTATTTTTCACATTCTTTTTTTTTTTTTTGGCAGGGGGGAAGGGCAAGATAACATGGATAATTTGGAAATAGCATTTTGCGCAACCTCACATGTTTAATTGATATATTGCTTGCCTCTTCAACAAGTGTGTTGAAGTGTTATTCAAGGGAGTAAGAGAAAACTTGTAACTCTCCCCATTCCCCCAAAATACTCATAGTGTTACCATTTAATCCTGTTAAAACTTCCCTTGAAGAATCATATACGTATAGGGAGCTCCATTATCCCACTGAATCTTTCTCAGGAAAGAACACCTCCTTCTAATGTAATTAAAATTATCCATTTTACTTGCTGTGTCCTCTTGTTTGGTCATGAACTCTTCTCCTATTCAGACCTGACAGGTAATTTTTTCCCTTCTCAGTTAATTTGCTGATGATATCACCTTTTATATCTAAATCATGTATCCATTATGACCTTATCTTGGTGTACAGCATGAGATCTTTGTCTATACCTAGTTTCAGTCAGAATGCTTTCTAGTTTTCACAGCAGTTTTTATTGAATAATACATTTTTGCCTTCAAAGCTTGGATCTTTGGGTTTATCAAATACTAGATTACTGTGGTCATTTATGTTTACATATTATGTACTTAATCTTTTCTAGTAATCAACCACTCTGTTTCACATCTAGTATCAAACTGTTTGATGATTTCTACTTTGTAGTATACGTTGAGATCTGATATTGTTGGGCCATCTTCACTTTAAAAAAAATAATTAATTCCCTTAATATTCTTAATTTTTTGTTCTTCCAGATGATTTTTTTTCTAGCTCCATAAAATAGTTCTTTGCTAGTTTGATTGGTATAGCACTGAATAAGTAAATTAATTTAGGCAGTAATGTCAATTTTATCATATTGGCTCATCCTACTCATGAGCAATTAATATTTCTACAGTTGTTTAGACCTGTCTTTATTTGTGTGAAAAGTGTTTTGTAATTGTGTTCATATAGTTCCTGTGTGTATCTTGGCAGGTGGACTCCTAAGTATTTTATACTGTCTATAGTTATTTTAAATAGAATCTCTCTTTTTATCTCTCTTTTGGGTTTTGTTGATAATATATAAAAATGTTAATGATTTATGTGGATTCCTTTTATATCTTGCAACTTTGCTAAAGTTGTTAATTGTTTTGACTAGTTTTTTAGTTGATTTGCTAGGATTCTCTAAGTAGAACATCACATCTTCTGGAAAGAACTATAAGGGGCAGCTAGGTGGCGCAGTGGATAGAGCACCAGGCCTGGATTCAGGAGAACCCGAGTTTAAATCCGGCTTCAGACACATAACACTTACTAGCTGTGTGACCCTGGGCAAGTCACTTAACCCCATTGCCTAGCCACAAAAAAAAAAGAAAAAACTATAGTTTTATTTCTCCATTGCCTATTCTTATTCCCTCAGTATCTTCTTCCTGCCTTAATACTAGTTAGCATTTCTAATATAATATTAATAATTGTGATGATAATGGACATACTTGCTTCACCTCTGATCTTACTGGAAAGACTTCATTCCTTTGCTTGCTAGTCTTTTTAGTTTTCTTCTTTCTTTTTTCAAAAAATCATATTAAGGTAGGGACAGCTAGGTGGCACAGTGGATAGAGCACCGGCCCTGAAGTCAGGAGGACCTGAGTTCAATTCCGGCCTCAGACCAAACACTTGACACTTACTAGCTGTGTGACCCTGGGCAAGTCACTTAACCCCAATTGCCTAAAAAAAATCATATTAAGTGTTTATTTATTTTATTGTTTTTTTTCATAAAGCCTGCTCCCAGTTTTATTAGTTAAATGGTTTTTGGTTTTTTGTTTATTTTACTTTCAATTTTATTAATCTCTCCTTTGGTTTTTGAGATTTCTATTTTGGTGTTTAATTGGGGATTTTTCATCATTCTTTTTTTAGTGTTTTTAGTTGCATGCCCAATATATTGATCTACTCTTTCTCTCTTTTATTTTACTTCCCGTAAGCGTTTAGAGACATAAAGTTTCTGTAAGTCCTGCTTACGCTGATTTGGTGTGTGTTGTCTCATTGTATCATTCTCTTTAATGAAATTATTGATTGGGGTTTTTTTTGTGATTTGTTCTTTGACAGATTCATTCTTTAGGATTGGATTATTTAGTTTCCAATTAATTTTTAATCTATCTTTCCACAGCCCTTTATTAAATGTAACATTTATTGCATTATGATCTTAAAAGGGTACACTCAATATTTTTGCATTTGTTTATGAGGTTTTTATGCTCTAATACATGACTAGTTTTTGTAAAGATGCCCTAATACATGGTCAGTTTTTGTAAAGGTGTCAAGTAAAGCAGAGGAAAAAGATATACTCCTTTCTATTCCCATTTAGTTTTTTTCCAGAGGTCTGTCATATCTAACTTTTCTAAAATTCATCTCCTTAACTTCTTTCTTATTTATTTTATGGTTAGAGTTATCTAGTTCCAAGAGAGGTAAATTGAGGTTCTAGTACAGTTAATTCTTCCTGTATTTCACTTAACTTTTCCTTTAAGAATCTGGATGCTATGCCATTTGATGAATATCATTTCATTGTCTATGGTACCTTTTACCAAAATGAAGTTTCCCTGATTATATCATTTAACTAGGTCTGTTTTTGTTTTTGCTTTGTCTGAGATCATGATGGCTATTTCTGCCTTTTTTACTTCAGCTGAAGCATTAATAGATTCTTTTCCAACATATTATTTTAATTGTTTGTCTTTCTGTTTCAAGCATGTTTCTTATAAATAACATATTTTTAGATTCTGGTTCTAGTTCATTCTTTTATCTGCTTTCACTTTATGTGTGAGTTCATCCCATTCACAGTTATGGTTTCTAACTGCGTATTTGCCTGCATTCTATTCTTTTCTGTTTATCCTTTCCTTTCTTTTTTTTTTACCTTGTCAAAAGTCTGTTTGACTATTTCACATTTTCTCCTTTTTTTCATTCTTTTGACTTTGTTTTATTGTTCCTGATGTCTCATGGAATAAAGGAGGTTTTTTTTCAGTGAAGTTTTGTACCTCTTTTATTAGTTGGCCAATTCTGTTTTTTAAGGAGTTACTTTCTTCAGTATTTTTTTTGCCTTTTGCTTTCATAATTTTCTTGCATTTCTTTCATTTCTTTTCTTAATTATTCCTGTACAACTTTTATTTGGTTTTTTAAATAATTTTCTTTTGCACTTTTAAAAAATCTCTTTCTTTAGCTCTTCTAGGAATTCTGGTTTGGTTTGTGTCCAATCTGAATTTTTCTTTGAGCTTTTGTTTAAAGATGTTTGCATGTCATTGTTTTCTTCTGAGTTTTTTCTTGAGCTTCGCTGTCACCATAGCAATTTTTAATGGACAGTTACTTTTTTTTTGTTATTTGATCATTTTTCCAGTCTATTTCTTGACTTTGGACTTTATGTTAAAGCTGGGCTCTACTCTCCCGGGGGGGGTATTGGGGGAGGGGGTGACTGTCCCAAACTTCAGATTTTTTTGCCCTTAGAATCTCTGTTTCTCAGATACCTCTTCATCTTATGAAAGTTCCTCAAGGGATGAATGAGCCTTCACCCAGTGACTTTAATTGCACATCTAGTTCTCTGGGACTTATTGATTCAATCACAATACATCCTTAATAGGTGCTGAAACTCTTCTCAAAAATTAAATAGTGAGGGGCAGCTAGATGGCGCAGTGGATACAGCTCTGGCCTTGGAGTCAGGAGGACCTGAGTTCAAATCCAGCCTCAGACACTTGACACTTACTAGCTGTGTGACCCTGAGCAAGTCACTCAACCCTAATTGTCTCACCAAAAAGCAAAAATAAAATAAAATAAAATAGTGAAATGGAGCCAAGATAGCAGAGTAGTAAGAAGCGGTGTGGTAAGCTCTCCAAACTGGTATAGAAAATGTACCAGATACAGTCCTAATGAGGAAATCCAGAAAAATGTAGTCATTTGTCCAGCCCAGATTGCCCTAGGTCTTCTGACACTGAAGAAGGATTGAGCCAGGAGTATGTCATTAAGGGACCACTCTAACACCCAAGAAGAGGCTGAGCACCAGAGCGACAGGAGGTCCTAGATCTATGCCGGGATACCTCCAGACCTATATTAGGACTATGAAGGGAACAGATGTAAATTAGAAGACTTATCACTCCCTATTCAGTACATGGTCACAGATCCAGGGCTGAGTGAGGACACCTGTGCAGGGGACCTGGGTCTCCAGGTAGGGGGGTCAGGGAGTAGAGACTTGGGCTATGTATAGAGAAAGGAAGAAGTTTAGAAGTTCACAGTAGCAGTGGTATAGCTCAGAGGAAGCTCTTACTTCCAGCATCTAGCACAGACTGCAGAGGCATAACTAAGGAAACCCAGACCAAAGCAGGGTGGGGAGTGGGGTCTACAATTCTGCCATTCTGAACCAATAGAGCATTCCAACTAGCTGATAAGACTGGAATACAGCAGCAGTCTACTCTTGTTCACACCCAAACCTAGGCCAGTAGCTTGCCGAACTCAGGCCAGGGAGGGACAGCAACCAGACTTTGCCCTACATCAGTTCACTTTGGAAGCACTAAAAGTTTGCAGGTCCTCAGACTGTCCTTGAGATACTAGAATAATATAACACTCAACACCTCAAGAAAGCAACAATATGACTGGTCTCCAGACCATGTCTCCAGAAGTGAGCTTTAATATCAAGTCAAGAATTAGGCTGAAAGAGTGAACAAACAAAATAAGAACCCCATCATACTGAGTGATTCTGGTGGCAGGGGTGCTCAACACACGTATACAAAGGAAGAGAATGCTTCCAAAACAACTTCAAGCAATGCCTCTGAGAAAAACCCAGCTTGGGCACAAACTCAACTAGAATTCCTGGAGGAGAAGAATTAAGAGGTTGGGTTTTTTTTAAGTTTAAAATGTTTTTTATAAATGAAACAAATGTGCTTAAAGGGAAAAAAATGGAAAAGAAGGGAGGGATGTGGAAGAAAGAATTGAAAAGGCATTTAACAGGTCAATACAGAAGGTACAAGACCTTGCCCAAGCAACAAACGACTTGAAAATTAGAATCAATCAAATGGAAGCTAATGGGGGCAGCTAGATGGCATAGTGGATAGAGCACCGGCCCTGGAATCAGGAGGACCTGAGTTCAAATCCAGCCCCTGACACATAACACTTACTAGCTGTGTGACCCTGGGCAAGTCACTTAACCCCATTGCCTAGCCAAAAACAAAACAAAACAGAGCAAAACAAATGGACACTAATGACTTCATGAGGCAACAAGAAATATCAAAATGAAGTCAAAAGGCTAAAAAGGTGGAAGAAAATGTAAAGTATATCATAGCAAAATCAACTGACCTGGAAAACAAATCAAGAAGAAAAAATTTAAGAATCATTGAACTATCTGAACACCATGACCAAAAATAAATATCATATTTCAAGAAATCTTAAAAGAAAACTGCCCAAATCTTTTAGATCTAGAGGGCAAAGTGAAAATAGAAAGAATCCGCCAGTCACTTACTGGAAAAACAAACAAAAACACAAACACAAACAAAAACTCCCAAGAACATCATAGCCCAAACTCAAAGCTTTTAGGCCAAAGAATAATTATTGCAAGCAGTCAGAAAGAAAAAATTCAAGAACTGAGAAGACACAGTCAAAATCACACTTGATGTAGTAACCACCACTATAAAAGGGCAGAGAGCTTAAAATATGATATTCCTGAAGGCAAAGATTATAAGCTTACAGTCAAGAATAACTTACACAGCAAAACTGAGTTTGATGACACAAGAGAAAAATGAACTTTTAATGAAATAAAGGACATCCAAGCATTCCTGATGAAAATACCAGAGCTATATTGGAAGTCCAAATACAGGAATGAAGAGACTTATAAAAAGGTAAATATCAGTGAACAATGATAAAGGACTAACCAAGGATAAATTGCTAACATTCAAATATGGGGAAAGATATAGTTGTCCCCTCTGAACCCTATCGTCATCGTGGTTGAAAGATGGTGTCCAACTAGACAAGGCCTGGGAGAGGTTCTGTTATGTTTTGATGATCTTAAGAAAATAATGGAAAGAGAAAAGAGGAATACCTTTGGGGTAGGGGGAAGGGAAAAGAAGATTAAGGAAAAATTATCTCACATAATTAGGATGCACGAATAGGTACCTATATAAACAAGAAGGAGATAAAAGGGAGTGGCTGATATTTGAACCTTACTCTCAGCTGAACTGGTCAAAAGAAGGAAGAATACACACACACACACACACACACACACACACACACGGATGCAGACATGTATTCACTCCACAGGGAAATAGTAGGGAAAGGGTGAAAGGAGGAAAGGATTTGAGTAGATTAAAGGAGAGATTAGTCATAAGCAAACAAACTCTAAGTATGTTCAAAAATATTTGTAGCTGGGGCAGGTAGGTAGCACAGTGGATAGAACACCAGCCCTGAGTCAGGAGGACCTGAGTTTAAATCTGCCCTCAGACACTTGACACTTACTGGTTGTGTGACTCTGGGCAAGTCACTTAACCCCAATTGCCTCAACAAAATAAAATATTTGTAGCTCTACCAGTATCTCTGATAAGGGCCTCATTTCTAAAATATATAGAGAATTGAATCAAATTTATAAGAATACAAGTCATTCGCCAATTGATAAATGGTCAAAGGATACGAACAGACAGTTTTCAGAGGAAGAAATTAAAGCCATCTATAGTCATATGAAAAAATTCTCTAAATCACTATTGATTTAGAGAAATGCAAGTCAAAATAACTCTGAAGTATCACATCAGATTGGCCAACATGACAAAACAGGAAAATGATAAATGTTGAAGATGTGGGAAAATTGGAACACTAATGCATTGTTGGTGGAGTTGTGAACTTTTCCAACCATTCTGGAGAGCAATTTGGAACTATGCCCAAAGGGCTATAAAATTGTGCATACCCTTTGACCCAGCAATACCATTTCTAGAGCTGTATCCCAAAGAGATCATAAAAATGGGGAAAGGACCCATAGGTACAAAAATATTTATGGCAGCTCTTTTTATGGTGGCAAAGAATTGTAATCTGAGAGGATGCCCATAAATTGGGGAATGGATAAAGAAGTTATGATATATAAATATGATGGAACACCATTATGCTTCACTCATCAACAATAATGATTACCAACCAGAATTCTGGAAGACCAATGATGAAACATGCTACCCATCTCTTTATAAAGAGCTGAAGGATTAAGAATGTCGAATGAGACAAATTTTGGGGGGACATAGCCAGTGTGGAAATATGCTATGATTGATTATACATGTTTCTAATGGGTTTTGTTTTTCTAATCTTCTCAATGCAGAGGGAGGGGTTAGAGTGGGAGAGCATGAAGGGGGATCCTGACTGATGAAAACAAATTTTATATAAATATATGTGTATTTATACATGTATACACATAAATGTATGTACACATGTATATGTATATATATATATACACACATATATATACATATATACATGTGTGTGTATATATATATACACATATACACATATAAGACTTAATTGGCCCTGGGGGTTAAGACTTCAACCACTGACACAGCTTCCTAATGGCTTAAATACAAAAGCCAGTGTACAGGGAATGAGGAGCTCCTCTCCAGTGATGTCAACATCACTGTACCACCATAGCGAATGCAGAGGCAGGGAGGCTGTACAGAATTAAATCAATGCTGTATCCTTGCTGAATATCTTTTTTATCCTATAGTTAAATAAATTCCCTCTTGTTAACCATTAGATGGGAGTGTCTAATTTTGTTCCATTCCTGACCCTGAACCACCTAGGTAGATCGGTTTAACACTAAGACTATAGTAAACCCTATCTAAGCTAAGTAACAATGGCAATGTAAATTAATATCTCTAAACCTGTTTCCTCATCATAAAATGGAGAAAATGCCACCAGTTGGATCTATCTCATAGGGTTATTATAATGCTTAAAAAAGAATATATGTCAAGCACTTTGCAAATTTTAGAGTGCTAGATAAAAGTCAATGTTTAAATAACCAAATGTATACTCTTACATAATTTATTCTAAGATAATAGGAATGGAGATCTGATATTAATAAATGGAAGGTAATACAAGCCCATAATACTAAACAGACAAGGTAAATCCAGGTGTAGCTATTAAAAAGACAAGAATATCAAACCTCTGCAGTGATAGATCCCAACACAATGTGATTACAGCTGTACCCACTGTTCAGAACAAAGCACTGTTGTCCAGAAGGCTTTTTCTTGAATACATCTATAGGAACAGTTGCCAAACCAAAGAACAGACCTAAAATAAAATAGAAAAGGTAGTGTATCAAAATAGAAAAATAACTGGTTTCAAGTCCTGACTCTCACACATACAATCTATGTGACTGGGAAAATCACAACTTCTTAGCCCCACTTAACCATCCAAGATATTTAAGTTACAGAGCAATTACTGACTTGTAGAAAGAGTTTCCTACACCGATGAAATCATAGATATGGACCAAACAACATCAAACCCCAAATATGTGGAAAATTAATAAGAACAAGGAAAGGTTCATATCATATTCAAGTTACAATTTTGAAGGCTACTATTAAAATATGCACCAAAAACACTAAGAAAAAAGCCTGATGCAAATAAATAAACCTGTACACAGGGTGCAAGAAAAGTTATTTTAGATCTACCTAATAATGCTCAGAAAAAAAGAATCTGAATTAAAATGGAAAAATATAATCCTTATCACCTATTCTTACTCTTTTAAGGTAAACAAACTCAAGGTTGACAATTGCTTCACTATGGCACCAGTGAAAGAGGATGCCAAAAGTGTTAAGATTAGTAAAAAAAAAAAAATTAGTGGCTCTCTTCTGCAAAGCTAAACTTTATTTATATTAAATCAGTACTCTGTATAAAGCTTGCATTCAAAACTTTAAGCTAAATAAAGTCAAATTCCATATATTCACAAACATGTATTAACTGTTCCATGTGTTGTTACTTTCAGTGAAAATTTCAGCTACATTGAATAAAGCAAAGATTCATTTTTTAAATAAAAATTTCTCACATCAGAAATCTAAGGTTTCAATAGTATTACCTAAGCACTATGAACACTAAGTGCATACACTCCTCTTGTCCTTAACTTTAAAAAAGGGTCTAAATTATTTCTCCTCTCTATACCTTCACTTTGTACCTCAGTTTCCTAGAAGTAGGTAGGAAGGATACTGGGTGCTAAACTAGTTGAAAATAATTCTACCAAAGTACTTTGAAAATACTTACTATCTTTGGACTTCCCATCTTCTAAAACATGCATTTGTAACTCTTTGGATTTGGCATTTAATTCACTATGAAAAGAATAAAACCATCAGGTTTTCACAATGAAATATTTTAACGCAACTCAATCTATTTGGGGTAGTCACATAAGGAGTTCCATACAACCATAAATATTAAGGAACTATTAGAAAATCCAATAATTGATGTTTATACTTCCATCATTAACAATATTAATTTCCTCTGAGGTTTTACCTCATATTTAGCAAATTGGCAAAGATTGAAAAAGATAGGAATAGGTGATGTTGTAGGGGTTCTAGAAAGAGTTGGACAAACTAATAAAATCTTCTTGGTGGAGCTTTGAATTGGTCCAAAAATTCTAGAAAAGAATTTGAAATTATATCAAGAAAGTGAATGAAATAGCCAAAACCTTTCACCCACAAATTCCACTACTGGGCATATATCACAAGGAGATCAATGACAAAAAGAAAGGAGTCATAAATTCCAATATATTTATAGTAGGAACTTTTGTAGTAGCAAAGGTCTAGAAACAAAAAGGATGGCCATCAATTGGAAAATGTAATATTACAGTAATGTAAAATATAAATATGATTGATATAAAGAATCACAAGAAGACTAGATGAATACTGATTCAAAGTGAAACAGAGTTGTGAAAACAATATATACTAACAGCATAAGTGGAAAAAAATAGTTCAACAAAGTAATCAAAACTAAATATTTCCTATTATAATGATCAAGTGTGGCCTAAAGAAGAGGCAAGAGAAGGTACCTGTTCCCACTTCTTTGCAATGGTAGAAGACCAGACTCTTCTTTTTTAGCTTTTTTCAATTAATCAAAAAAAAAAACCTCTCATTTCTCCTCCACCCCTACCATTATCCCTAATAATTGAAAAAGAAAGAAAAACAAAATGTTTGCTTTTGATTACAATAAAAAAAAATTCCCACATTGGCCATGTCTTAAGTATATGTTTAATATACATCACCTCTATGTCAATGATCAATCATCTAGAATTAGTTTGTTTTATTGATCATTGTCCTTAAGATTTTCAAAGTTCTTTTTTTTTTTACAATATTGTTATCATATAAATTCTTCTCCTTGTTCTGCTCATTTCATTTGTATCACTTCGTATAATTCTATCTAACTGAAACTGGCCTCATCATCATTTGTTACACAACAAAAGTATTCCATTACATTCATACACCATAATTTATGCAGCCATTCCCTACTTGTAGAAAACCCTCCAGGTTTCCAGTTCTTTGACAGCACCAAAAGAGCTGATGTAAATATTTTTGGTATACATTTGCCTTGTTCTTCTTTCTTTGATCTCTTTGTGGGTACAGACATAGGAGTGATATATTTGAATCAAAGAGGATGCATAATTGAGTAACTTTGGAGGTATGGTTCCAAATTGCTTTCCTGAATGACTGAAATAATTCCCAGCTCCACCAATAGTGCACATCTGTTTTCCTGAAATCCCCCCTGCATTTGTCACTTTTTTTTTTGTCAAATTTCTTAATCTGATGAGTATGAGGTAGTGTTGTTTTCATTTTCATTGATCTAATTTGGAACATTTTTTCTTTTTAATTTTGTAAAAAATTTATTTTATTCTTAATTTATGGAATAAAACAAGCAGTTCCATAATATAGTATAATAAAAAAGATGATTGCATATGAAACTGCAAATCTACCGTGCACAACTTGCTTTTCCTTTCAAATATACAACAAAATTATCATGTAAATTTCTTTTTTTCCCTTACCTCCCACCTCCTGCCCTAGAGATGGCTACCATTAGATACGAATAGGTATGCATATTTATAATTATTCTATACATACTTCTATTTATCAGTTTTTCTGTGGATGAAGATGTCATCTTTCTTCATATGTCCTTTATAGTTAATTGGGGTATTTATAAAAGACAAAAGAAATTCACTCAAAGTTGTTCTTTAAACAATGTTGCTGTTACTTTATACAACGTTCTCTTGGTTCTGCTCATTTCATTTATTATTTCATGCAAGTCTTTCCATGTTTTTCTAAAATTGTGGAACTCATTATTTCTCATAGCACAGTAGCATTCCATCACAATCACATATCACAATTTGTTCAGTCATTCCCCAATTGATGGGCATCCCTGCAATTTCCAAGTCTTTGCCACCATAAAAAGAGCTGTTAGAAACATTTTAGAACGTATAGGTTCTTTTCCTTTTCCCCTAAACATCTTTGGAAATAAAGTAAGTAGTGGTATTGCTGGGTCAAAGGGTAGTTTAATAACTCTTTGGGCATAATTCTAGATTGCTCTCCAAAATGGTTGGATCATTTCATAATTCCACCAACAATGAATTAGTGTCCCAATTTTTCCACCCTTTCTAATATTTGTCACTTTCCCTTTATATCATTTTAGCTAATATGGTAGTTATAAAATGATATCTTAAGGCTATTTTGATCTGCATTTCTGTAATCAATAATGATTTAGAGCTTTTTTTCATATGACTTAAATTGTTTTGATTTTGTTATTGGAAAACTGCCTGTTCATATCTTTTGACCATTTATCAATTGACCTTATCTATTGATATAATTTTTAAACTTTCATTATTGATGTAATCAATTATGTTAATAGTTTTCCTTATGTTAAACCATTCCTGTATTCCTGGTATCAATCCTATTTGATCATAACATTTTTTCATATGTCTTAGTGATAGCTTGCATTTCTTCCTCTGAAAACTGCTTGTTTATATACTTTAACCACATCAATTTCATTATTTTAAATCTGAATCATTTCCCTTTATATCTTGGAAATAAGAATTTTATCAAAGAAATCTGCTGCAAAGATTTTTTTTCCCTAGTTACCAGCTTCCATTTTCTATAGCTGCACTGGCTTTGTTTGTGACAAAAATTATATTGGTTAGTCTTGTTAAACTGTGTTTTTCCTTTTAATTCTTTGTTACATGGGAAAATAACAATAGCATTTACATAGCATAGCAAGGTTTTCAGTGTTTTACAAATATCTCAACTTGTCATAAAAACAGCTCTGAGAGGTAGATGCTATTATTATCCTTATTTTACAAATAAAGTAACAGAAGTAGAGGTTAAGGGACTTTTCCAGTGTCACATAACAAGTGTCTTATGCTAGAATTGAACCCACGTCTTCTTGACTCTAGGTCCAGATGATTCTTTGGGGAGGAGATCAGCAAGGGATATACTGAGAGTGTGATCATTTAAATCCACTTGAATTGTGAAAAATTCACCTGAATTCTGGAAAATAAACAAACAACAACATCCCCTAAAACTGATGACAGCTGATAGGTAAGGGGAGTGATATACAATTTGCTTTATAACTGCCTCTACAAATGGCTTAAATGTGACTTCTTTTTTTTGTAAATAGTATTTTATTTTTTCTATTTACATGTAAAGAAATTTTTCAACATTCATTTTTTTATAAGACTTTTCAGTTCCAAAATTGTTTTCCCTCTCTCCCTTACCATCTTCCACAGACAGCAAGCAATCTGACACAGGTTATACATGTGCAATCATGTTAAACATATTTCCACATTAGTCATGTTGTGAAAGAACAGAACAAAAGGGGAAAAAACACAAGAAAAAAGTGCTATGTGACTTCTACAGAGCTCTTTATCTCAAAATTATTTGTTCAGTGGTTTCAGTTGTATCTAACTCTTCATGACCCCACTTGGAGTTTCCTTGGCAATACTGAAGTGGTTTGTCATTTCTTCTCCAGCTCATTTTTGCTGATGAGGAACTAAGGCAAACAGGCTTAAGTGATTTGTCCAGGATCACATAGCTAGTAAGTGTCTGAGGCTGTTGAGGTTTAGGGACTTAGGGGTGCTGAGACCCCAATATCACAACACACAGATCCTGCCTAAAAGAATTAGACCCAAGCCTTCTTTCAGCCAAAGATAAAGTTTAAAGACTGTGGGTGGGATCTAGAAGGGGCCAAATAGTTTGGAGTGACTGGAGGAGGAGTCTAAAGAAGACCTGAATGGGAGTGGCCAGTAAACTGGGGTGAACAGAACTCCTAGAACCTGGACAATGGAGCCTAGCTAGGATTAAGTGTGGGAAATGGCCAACCATAAAGAGGGCTAGGCTAGGTTAAGGGAAACAGAATTGGGAGATTAGGTGTAGTCACAATGAAAGGCAGGTGATGGGATTATAGCCTCAGGCAAACACCAGAGATTTGGCCATGTGGGGAAAGTCCAGGGTTTCTAGATCCCATCCTCATCAAGGCCAGATTTGAACTCAGAAAGAGTCTTTCTGATTCCAGGTCCAGCACTGCATCCATTACCATATCTATCTGCCTTTTACAAATACAAACATATAAAAACATTTTGTTTCACTCAGAGTAACACAACATTTTTGTCAGTACCAAGTAATATATCATTGATGGGGTTGGGATCTGGGTCCCAGAAAGGAAAAACCCTGGACTTTCCCACATGGCCGAATCTCTGGCATTTGCCTGAGGCTATAATCCCATCAACTATCCTTTCACTGTGGCTACACCCAATCTCCCCTCCATGGTCTTGCCTCCCTAGGGCCCCAGGCCACTTCTCACTCTTGGTCCCATCTAGGCTCCATTTGCCTGGAATTCCATTACCTCATAGACTATTTGGCCACTCCTAGATCCCTCCCACAGGCTTTCTGTATATAAGGTCCATCTTGCCTCCATTAAGATGCTTAGATTCTTATAATCTAGCCACTGTTCAGATTTCTAAAATCTACTCACTGCTTAGACTCTTATAATCTAGCCACTGCTTCCCCATGTTCAGACTCCTTAAAAGTCCGCCCAATATGACAATGCTCTAATAAACCTCGTCTTTGGCTGAAAGAAGGCTTGGGTCAAATTCTTCAGGCAGGACCTAAGTATTGTGATTTTGGGGTCTTAGGACCCTTGAAACCCTAAATCGCATCATCACCAGATTAATGAAAGAAATGAAAAATATTTTATTACTTAAGAGAAACTAATAGGAAGTACAGCCTTAAAGAGTATCTAATCCAACTTTTTCCTTTTATAAATGAGGAAACTGAGGTCCAGAAAGATGAGATGA